CCTCCAACATTTCTCCCATGAAAATAGGGACGTTCTGCCATCCCCTCCAACATTTCTCCCGTGAAAATAGGGACGTTCTGCCATCCCCTCCAACATTTCTCCCATGAAAATAGGGACATTCTGCCACCCCTCCAACATTTCTCCCATGAAAATAGGGACATTCTGCCACCCCCTCCAACATTTCTCCCGTTGAAAATAGGGACATTCTGCAATCGAACATTTCTCCCGTGAAAATAGGGACATTCTGCCATCCCCTCCAACATTTCTCCCGTGAAAATAGGGACGTTCTGCCATCCCCTCCAACATTTCTCCCGTGAAAATAGGGACGTTCTGCCATCCCCTCCAACATTTCTCCCTTGAAAATAGGGACATTCTGCCATTCCCTCCGACGTTTTTCCCTTGAAAATTGGACGTTCTGCCATCCCCTCCGACGTTTCCCCCATGAATATTCAGACACTGTCCCCTCCGACGTTTCTCACATGAAAATAGGGACGTTCTGCCATCCCTTCCGATGTTTCTCCCATGAAAATAGGGACGTTCTGCCATCCCCTCCAACATTTCTCCCGTGAAAATAGGGACGTTCTGCCATCCCCTCCAACATTTCTCCCATGAAAATAGGGACGTTCTGCCATCCCCTCCAATATTACTCCCATGAAAATAGGGACATTCTGCCACCCCCTCCAACATTTCTCCCATGAAAATAGGGACGTTCTGCCATCCCCTCCAACATTTCTCCCATGAAAATAGGGACGTTCTGCCATCCCCTCCGACGTTTCTCCCATGAAAATAGGGACGTTCTGCAATCCCCTCCGATGTTCCTCCCATGAAAATGGGACGTTCTGCAATCCCTTTCGACGTTTCTCCCTTGAAAATAGGGACGTTCTGCCATCCCCTACAACATTTCTCCCATGAAAATAGGGACGTTCTTGCCATCCCCTCCGACGTTTCTCCCATGAAAATAGGGACGTTCTGCCATCCCCTCCAACATTTCTCCCATGAAAATAGGGACGTTCTGCCATCCCCTCCCAACATTTCTCCCGTGAAAATAGGAACGTTCTGCCATCCCCTCCAACATTTCTCCCGTGAAAATAGGGACATTCTGCCATTCCCTCCGACGTTTTTCCCTTGAAAATAGGGACGTTCTGCCATCCCTTTCGACGTTTCTCCCATGAATATTCAGACACTGTCCCCTCCGTCGTTTCTCCCATGAAAATAGGGACGTTTCGACGTTTCTCCCATCAAAATAGGGACGTTTCGACGTTTCTCCCAGGAAAATAGGGACGTTTCGACGTTTCTCCCATGAAAATAGGGACGTTCTGCCATCCCGTCCGACGTTTCCCCCATGAATATTCAGACATATTCAGGGACGTTCTGCCATCCCCTCCGACGTTTCTCCAATGAAAATAGGGACGTTCTGCAATCCCTTTCTACGTTTCTCCCATGAATATTCAGACACTGTCCCCTCTGACGTTTCTCCCATGAAAATAGGGACGTTCTGCCATCCCCTCCGACGTTTCTCCCATAAAAATAGCGGTGTCCTCCATCTCCTTCGACATTTCTCCCGTGGGACTATGGACATTCAACCATGGGGTAATATCCTAAGAAAAGCTCATCAACTTTGGGGTAAAATCCTAAAAGAAGCTTAACAGTTTTGGGGTAAAATCCTCAAAAAACGTCAACAACCATGGGGTAAAATCCTAGAATAAAGCTCAACAACTTTGGGGCAAAATGGTAAAGAAAGCTCCTCAATCCTAAAAAGGGCCCTCACACACGTTCCCGTCATCAAATCTGGCCCTCTTGCAAAAAAGTTTGGGGATCCCTGCTCTGGGACATTTCTCCCCTAAAAAAAATGGACATCATCCCCTCCGACTTTTCTCCCATAAAAATACAGCCATGAAAATAGGGACGTTTTCCATCCGCTCTGACACTTCTCCCATAAAAATACAGATACCATCTCTTCCGACGTTTCTCCCATGAAAATATATCCCACCCTACCCTCCAACATTTTTCCCGTGATAATTGGGACGTGCTCCATTTCTTCCGTCATTTCTCCCATGGCAAAATGGACGCTCAATTATGGGGTAAAATCCTAAGCAAAGCTCAACAACTTTGGGGCAAAATGGTAAAAAAAAAATCCACATTGTCAATCCTTAAAAAAGGCCCTCACACATGTTACCATAATCAAATCTGGCCCTCTTGCAAAAAAAGTTTGGGGTCCCATAAAAACATGGACATGTGCAGCTTCTTTTGCAAAGGGGAGAAGCCTCGTTTTTGGAGGGATCAGCTCATGGTTGTTGAGCTTACTTTGCAAAGGGGGGAAATCCTGTTTTTATGGGGATCAACTCAAAGGTCTGCAGCTTTTCTTTTTTTTAATATTAGTTGAATATAAGAACAACATCTAATCAAATACAAGCAATAAAATACAGTTTTCCCCTAACCCCACCTCCCCAAAACCAGCCCCAACTACGTCCAGGTAATTTACATTAGTATTATTATCAAATGAAAAATTATTTCTACAGTTGCTGGTTTAAAAAAAATCTCATTCCACCTGCTCCCGTGTGTCTTAGGTGGTTTAAATGCATGTTCTTTCTTTGATGCATATGTAATAAAGGAGGACCACGTTATGTAAAACTTACATAATTTCTCATGTTGTTTTCTTTTACCTATCCTTTCTGTTAACTTTCCCATCAAAATTAATTCCGTAAATTAAAATTAAGGTTCACGTTTAATGTCCTCCATTGTCCAGCAGCGGCAAGACGTGCGGCAGTTCTAAGATGCACAATGAAGTCTTTTGTCTCTAAGATTTTGTGCTTCATCTGCAAATAGAGAAAGCAATGCCATTTTGGGATCTCGATTGATCAGTTGAGACGGAATTGGTTCCATTTCCTGGGCAGGATCTTTAGGAAAGGAAAGGGAGCCGTTTCTGCTGTTTCTGGACATAATTTTTTTTAAGTTTTCATTTCAAATACACCAACACCAACAAGATACATAGATATTTCAAATATTTTTACATTTGTCCAGACATAATCTAATCAGCCGGTCATGTGTTGCGGGGAAGAAAACGGCCTCCATCTGCAGAAAATTCAGCAATGGAGACCTGGGCAAGGGCAGCGATCGACCCCACATTCGCTCCATAAGATGCACAGAAAAAACCAAATCAGAACACACCTATCTGTGCTGCAATAGCGAAGGCGAAAGCGACAGCTCGTCATATTAAACCTTATTTTTCCGCCTCCTCCTCCTGTAGGAAATAAATATATCCCAGCCGTATTGCGAGCGATCGATACGAAACTTTGTGCCGGGTGGTGGTGGTGGTGATGATGATGATGATGATAATAATAATAATAATAATAATAATAATAATAATAATAATAATACTTATTTATGATTTGTACCCTGCCCATCTGGCTGGCTTTCCCCAGCCGCTCTGGGCGGCTTCCAACAAACACCAAAATTACACGAAAATGTCATGCATGAAAAACATCCCTGAACAGGGCTGCCTTCAGATGTCTTCTAAATGTTGTTTATTTCTTTAACATCTGATGGGAGGGCGCCGATGATAGGATGATGGGAAGCTTTGCTTCTACACATTTTCTGCACATTTGCTTCTACACATTTTCTGCACATTTGCTTCTACACATTTGCTTCTGCACATGAGTCTGACACAAACTGCTCTGAGTCTGAAACGTTCCTTCCTGGAATGTTCAGTTCATGAAACATCACATCTTGACCTGACCTTCTCCATCTCTGTACATTCTTTTCTTACCAACCTGGAATGTTTAGTTCACATTAAGTGCACATCCTGACCTGTTCTTATCCTTCTGTATATTCTTCAAGTCTCGCTATATCAGTCATCAGTAGTTGTTTAGTAAGGAGGCTTTTAGGCCTGTCTAACTCTGTGTTCCTTTTATCTATCGATGAGTAAGGTCTTATATGCAACCCTCGCAATGTATTTGTGTTAACCAATCAGCAACAAGCGCATACGTGGCAATGCTGTAATATTCAATAAAAGGGACTCCCCGAGAGATGCCTCCCGGATGACACTTGCCACTCGTCTGTCGTTTATTTCAACCCAACACGCCATCACCAAGAAGGCCCTCTGCCTGATTCCCTGTAGCTTTGCTTCTCCAGCTACGACGATTCTCCACACACTATCTGTGTGCTGCAATAGCAAAGGCTAAAGCAAAAGCTCGCCATATTAAATCTTTTCTCCCCTCCACCTCCTGTTGGAAATAGATATATTCCAGCCGTGTTGCAAGCGGTTGATAGGAAACTTGGTGCCGTGCGATTCCAGCTACAACCTTTTGGGGGGGGGGAGAAAAACATTCAACAATGGAGGCCTGGGCAAGGGGCCGGGGGCCGGAAAGGGAGCCAGCGACGGACCCCACATTCGCTCCGTAAGACGCACAGACCTCTCCCCTTCCTTATTTAGGAGGAAAAAGTGTCTTATGGAGCAAAAAATATGGTAGTTGCTTTTGAAGGCACTACTGGACCGTTTGCCTACCCCTGCCCTGAACCGAATCTCCCTGCCCATTTCGAACCTGCGCCTGGGTCCCTTCCCCAGCCGGTGGCACCGAGGTCCCCTGGACCGCCCCTCCCGGTCTGCCCCACAGAGGACCTGAAGGTCCATAAATAGCAACACCCTAGAGGTCCCGGGCCCCAAGGAAGTCTGATTAGCCTCTATTGCTGCAAGGTTCTTACAAGCAACTTGTCCTCGAATATGATGCTAGACTGCCCTTCATTGGCCAAATGTGGATTTGCAGCATGTCCTAATCCTGCTCTTTCTCCCTGAGCTGTTCACACTGTGCTGGGCTCCTGTGATGAGGCTGCATTTTAACGTTGTGCTTTAATCTTGTTTTTTAAGTTGCATTTCAATCAACTTGTGTGGTTTTTTTTTGCTTGTTAGCTGCCCTGAGCCCAGTCTTGGTTGGGGAGAGCGGGGTAGAAATAAATTGTTGTTATTATTATTATTATTAAAACTGCCCCATGTGCCCTTCATTTCTCTGCGTCCTTGTCCCCGCGTCTCTCACCCACTGCTGTTTCCTCTCCCCTGCTCCCTTGCAGGCGACCGGGCAGAGCAGCGCACCTGCCTGATTTGCGGTGACCGCGCCACTGGCCTCCACTACGGCATCATCTCCTGCGAGGGCTGCAAGGGCTTCTTCAAGCGCAGCATCTGCAACAAGAGGGTCTACCGGTGCAGCCGCGACAAGAACTGCGTCATGTCCCGCAAGCAGCGCAACCGCTGCCAGTACTGCCGCCTGCTCAAGTGCCTGCAGATGGGCATGAATCGCAAAGGTACCTTGGGCGTTATTGCCGGGGGCTGGGCTGGGGTCGGAGGTGGGAATAATAATAATAATAATAATAAAAATCTTATTTGCGGTATTTTTCGCTAAAAAGTAAGGGGAAATGTCTGTGCGCCTTATGGTCCCTGGAGCCGAATTGACCGGGGACGAAAAGCAGATCATGCTTTTTTTTTTTTTTTTGGAAGAGGGAAGTGGGTGTTGAAACAAAGCCACCAATCGGAAGCGAGATAAGGGACGCTAGCAATAAAGGAGGCTGCCTGGGAAGGGGGGGGGGAGGTAAAGACAGCAAAATTGCAAGGAGAGGATACAGGAAGACTATATCAATGAGGAAAGAAATTAGGCAAAAAGGAGGAGCAAAAAACTGCTCCAGCTAAGGAAAAAACACTAAGGCAAACGAGGAGAGAAGGGAGTGTTGAAAGGAAGCAGCTGATTGGTGGGATCAGGAGAGAGATAAGGAATGCTAGCGATAAAGGAGGCCGCCTGGGAGGGGGGGGAGATGAAAGCCCATGGACCCTCAGGATTTTTACATTGGGTCACCCCAAATTTACCATCAGATCACATAGCATGTCCATGGCTACAGCCAACACCAAAAATATCACACACCCACTGTTTCCTGGGGCTGCAATGGTGCAAAAATGTGGATCCAGAAGCACGGATCCACATGGATCCTCAGGATTTTTGCATTGGGCTACCCCAAACTCACCGTCAAATCACGTGTCTGTGGCCACAGCATGAACCACCAAAATCATACATCCGCTGTTTCATTCAGAATATTTTTTCCCCTTGTTTTCCTCCTCTAAAAACTAGGTGTGTCTTATGGAGCGAAAAAACCGGTTTATCCTACCGTCCCCAGCCAATGCCGGGCTCAGAGCGGCTAACAACAGTAAAGCCATACAGCATTCTAAAATCATTCTAAAATCAAATTAATGGCAACCATTGGGCTAGAGTTCTGTGAGGATTGCCAAAGGAGGGGGTCAGGCTGTGCCTTGGCCAAAGGCCTGGTGGAACAACTCTGTCTTGCAGGCCCTGCGGAAAGATGTCAAGTCCTGCAGGGCCCTAGTCTCTTGTGACGGAGTGTCCCACCAGATCGGGGCCATGGCTCTGGTCGAGGCCAGCCTAGCCTTCCTGTGGCTCGGGACCTCCAAGATGTTTTTGTTTGAGGACCATGGGACATACCAGGAGAGGCGGTCCTAGGCCATATAGGGCTTTCAAGGGTTAAAACCAGCACCTTGAACCCGTTCCTGTCCTCCACCAGGAGCCAGTGCAGCTGGTATAGCACCGGGTGAATGTGATCCTGCGGCGAGGAACCCATAAGGATTCTCGCCGCGGCATTCTGCACCCGCTGGAGTTTCTGGGACAGTCTCAGGGGCAGCCCCACGTAGAGCGAGTTGCAATAATCCAGTCTGGAGGCGACCGTCGTGTGGAGGTAGCTCAGCGCACGTCCTCCGAGTTTCCTAATCGAGCCCTCTGTGGAGGACTCTCCCCAGGGCCTTTGGGGAGCTCCTTGCTCTTGTGCCCCATAATATATGATAATAATAATAATAATTTATTACAGATACCCCACCCATCTGGCTGGGCTTCCCCAGCCACTCTGTGCGGCTTCCAACAAAAGATTAAAATACTGTAACCCATCAAACGTTCAAAGCTTCCCTAAACAGGACTGCCTTCAGATGTCTTCTCAAAGTCTGGTAGTTTGTTCTCTTGGACATCCGGCGGGAGGGCGTTCCACAGGGCGGGCACCACCACTGAGAAGGCCCTCCGCCTGGTTCCCTGTAACTTGGCTTCTCACAGCGAGGGAGCAGCCAGAAGGCCCTCTGCGCTGGACGTCCAGGCAGAACGAGGGGGGTGGAGACGCTCTTTCTGATACAATTGACCGAGGCCCCAAATTAAGAAACCTGTATTTTTCAAGTCACCAGAACTGCCAAGCTCTTCCTTGGGGCGATTTCAAAGTTGTTGAGGCTTCTTTTGGTGGGGCAGTGGCCCTCAAAAGTTGCCGACGGGAACTGCATAGGAGACTAACCCCCCCCTTTTTTTTGCTCCAAAAATTCAGGAGAGAACATCGTGCTTAACGGGACTGCCCCTCCTGGTATGTCCTGCAGAGGACCCTAAGGTCCATGAATAAGAATCGCATAAAAGGTCGCAGGCCCTAAGGAAGCCATGTTATCCTCCACCAGGGCCAGGGCCTTTTTAGTGGTGACTCTGACCTGGTGGAACGTTCTGTCCCACGAGACTAGGGCCTGTAAGACAGAGCTATCACACCTGGCCTTCAGTTTGAATTAGCCTGATCCTTCTATGAAGAAACCCTTTCTGAGACCCTACATTTAAATTCTTCCCTGCTCTCCTTGCTGGCCCTAGTAGGACCAACTTGGCTGGTTTGCCCTGGCGATCATTTGATGTCTATGGACTGAGATTCCCCCCCCCCCAAAAAAAATGACCCCCGAATTTTTGAATTTTCTTGATATTGATGCTGCATTTATGTTGTATTATATTCTGTTTTTAAGTGGCATTTTAAGTCACAGTGTTTTGTATTTGTTGTTAGCCGCCCTGAGCCTGGTTTTTAAACCGGGAAGGGTGGGGTATAAATTTATTACTATTATTATTTATTATGCACGGGAAAACACGGTATATATTTGCTGTGTTTGACGTCGTCATGTTGCTTCTTTTTTTCCTTTCTCCCCCCTTTCCTAACCTTATTTCCTGACACTAATCCTTTGGTTTTATCTGGCCGGGCTGGAGTGTGAAGTGGATTTTTAACGTCTGCCGAGGGGTTCTGTTGTTGAGAATTTAGAGGAAGGAAGGAAGGAAGGAAGATTCCCCAGAAACTCTTTTAGCAGGGGTCTTCCTAGGTCTTAAGAAAAAAAAAAAAGATTCCCCCAGACCCTTTTAGCAGGTCTTTCCAGGTCCAAAGAAATAAAGATAGTGGCATCTACGCACAATTTTTTTTTAAAAAAAGCTCTGAAACGTTTTGAAAAAGAAGTTGAGTTTTGTACAGCTCCCTGTCTAGCTCTAGTGATTAAAACATTAATGTGTTAACATTGCATTTCAATCTTGTTTTTTCCAGTTGCATTTCAATCCACTTGCTTTGATTGTTGGTTGTCAGCCGTCCAGAGCCCGGCCTTGGCTGGGGAGGGCGGGGTATAAATAAAATGTTTTATTATTATTAGTGCCCCCTTTGTATATTGTGCTTTAAAACCCTTGCCTTGCAGCCGAGTCCTGGATGCGAACCCAGAGGCCCTTGCTCGTTTCGCAGGGAGTGGCGTGGAAGCGAAACCCACGTGTTGTTTCGTCGCCGCGGTCCCCCCCACCAGCAAAAAAGGGGCAGGGGATCGGGAGCCGCGTGCGAAAGGCTGCGAAGCGGATTGTCTCCCCTCCCGGGGCACCGGGCTTTTTTGGGCGGGGTCATTTGCCACTGCGGCTGAGACCGAAGGGCTGTGCTGGCCAGGACCGAAGGACGAGGGGCGCAGGATTGGGGGGCAGCGGCAGCTGGGGAGAGAGCAGCCGCAGTCCTGGAGCGCAATCACTAGGGGGAGCCTGCTGGGATCCCTGGCCCACAGGCAGAGGCCAAACCGCCCCCACTTTCTCTCCTGAGGATCTGTTGGCCGGATCGTCCAAAACCTGAGAGTTATGGGCACCATTCTTTTGCTCCAATTCTCTCCCGAGGATCCCTTGGCCGGATCCCCAGAATCCGAGAGTTACGGGCATCATTCTTCCGTTCTGCTTTCTCTCCCAAGGATCTGTTGGCTGGATCCCTGGAATCTGAGAGTTATGGGCACCATTCTTTCGCTCCGATTTCTCTCGAATTTCAGGTGATCCGGCCAACAGATCCTCGGGAGAGAAACCGGCGTGAAAGAATGGTGCCCATAACTCTCGGATTTCGGAAATCTGAAATTTACAGGCACCATTCTTTTCCTCCGCTTTCTCTTCCAAGGATCCGTTGGCCGGATCAACTGAAATCTGGGAATTCTGGGCCCTGTGCCACGGAGACGATCCTTGCCTGCCGGCCCATCTTTCCTCTCCTGCTTCAGCCCAGCTTGTTGGCCTTTCCCTTCAGCGCCGCTGAGCGCCATTTCGACTTCTTTACAATTAAAAAAAATATAAATTTATTTTCCGTTTTTGTCGCGGTCACGGACTTCCAATGCTAATGCGTATTAGGCTTCCCTCCCCCCCCCTTTGTGGTTCCTTATCCCTTTAAATCAGGCACCCCCAACCTTCAGTTTCCGGGTGGCCCACCCCGCCCGCCCCTCCGGTGGCAACGGGCGGCGGGAGGCCGGGGTGCCCGTGGGCCAGTCCCTAACCATCTGCTCTCGCTGCCTTCTTGTTTTTCAAGCAATTCGCGAAGATGGCATGCCCGGAGGCAGGAACAAGAGCATCGGACCTGTCCAGGTGAGCGGCCGTTGGGTTTCTCTCAAGTAGGCACTCCCCAAAACCTTCGGCCCTCCCGATGTTCGCGTGCTGCCAAATAGAGCAGTTCTTTCCAAGGATTATCAGGACAAAAGGAACGAGGAGGCGGAAGGGGAAGCGAAGCAGTTTTATTAACAAAACCTACCCGACAGGGGCTACCCAATCTCCCCTTCAGCTGCCCAGAGCCCCCCAGGTAGAGCAGCAGGAGAGAGACCCCAGCCGTCGGGTCTCCCACCATCGGGTCCTTTGATTTGGGTAGAAGCCCCTCCCACCTTACGGCTTGTATAGTCTGCCTTGATGTCATCCAGGGCACCTGGCGTCACTCATGGCCAGCCCCGGACCCCAAGACGGAATTAACGATGGACAACCAATCTTTTCCCAAAGTCGACTGTCCCCAGGCACCCAGTACGGGCGCATGAACGGAACCGGGCAAGGGATAAGAATGTCCAGAAGAGGTGGAAGACCCTCACCCGAAGGATTGGGTTCTTCTGTGCCGGCTGCAGGGAGACTCTCAGCCGCTCTGTCTTGATTCCATCTCAGGGTCCTGGGCTAATCACGAGTCACAGCAGGTGCCCTTGATGACGTCCAAGAAAAAAAGCAAATCAGTAGTCGAGAGGAACAAAAACTAATCCATTCAAAATTACGCCTTCTGACAAGGATTGCAAACTCGAACGGAAATTGCAAACTCAAACTCATAAAGTCGTGGATGTCTTCATTTCAATCATTGAGCAGAAGTCGGAAGTCAATTACAGATCAGAAACCAGGACAAGGTTCTTATCCCTTGCCCGGTTCCATTCATGGGCTTGTCCTGCGTGCCCGGGAGCCATTGTCTTTGGGAGAAGATCTTCCATTTATTTGTTAATAAAACTGTTTTGGTTCCTCTTCCACCTCCTCATCCCTTTTGTCCTGATCTCCTTGGAAAAAACTGCTGTATTTGGCAGTGCAGTTTGGGACTACAATTCCCATCCTCCCTTGCCGCTGCTCCCGTTAGCTAGGGATTCTGGGAGTTGTAGGCCCCAACATCGGGAGGGCCACAGGAGAGCACCAAGCCTTCCCCGGTTGGCACATTTTCTCGCCGCCTCCCCCCGTTTTTGTGTGCGCTTGGGTCGGGGAGGGCGCCCTTTTCCAGAACGCTGCTGGCGGCCAGACCTTGGGCCGCGTCGGCGCTCCTGCCTCCCAGTCCTGCCGCCCTTGCCCGCCCCAGCCAGCCCCCCGGGAGCTGCTCCTCCCAAAGCCAGCACCAGCCCTTTGGTCCGTGCCGAGCCCTCCGGAAAGCTGGCTGTGCCGCAGTTTCCGAAGCCGCCCGGGGAACGTCCGCTTGGCGGGTGGGGTGACTTGCCCGGAGAAGTCTTGCGAAACTCCGGTCAGTTTAGGTCCTGGCCAAGAGAAGGCGCCCAAAGGCTCATGCCAGGCTGCGGTGTTTTTCCGGGGACGGGGCCCGCGGTGGCAATGTGCAACGGCACCTTTGGGGAGTCTCTGGCCTCGCTCTCCGGCAAGCTGTGCCGCGGATTCTCCCCACAAGGCACGGCTGGAGAATCCAGGTAACAGGGGTCCCCAGAGAGGTGGTCCGGCTGCCCCCTTTTTCATGGGAAACGTCTGAGCTGATGGGGGCCTGCAATTTTTGGAGCGATCAGGGGAGAGAATTCATTTCCATGAAAGGGATTCGAATTTCTGTTCTGTGTTTTTAGCCGCACGCTAGCAGAAAAGCATTGTTTAAAAATCTGTAAGAAATGTTATTTGTAGATAAGCGGCTCCCAAAACAGCCAGTTCCCGGCAGAAAAAACTATACAGTGGACGCTCGGGTTGTGAATGTGATCCGTTCGCAACCTGCAGCATCTGCGCAGGTTGCGATTCGGCACTTCTGTGCATGCTCAAAGTGCGATTTAGCACTTCCGCACCTGCGTGACTGCCGAAACCCGGAAGTAACTCGTTCTAGTACTTCCGGATTCCGGCGGTCTGCAACCTGAAAAAACGCACCCTGAAGCAGCTGTAACAGCATGGCTGTATATTTGTAGATAAGCAGCCCCCCAAAAAGCCAGTTCCTGGCAGAAAATACTCGTGCGATTACCCTTGGGACATTGTAAGGTTGTTGCAGCAAAACTCTCTCTATCTCTCTCTCTATATATACACACCCCGTATTTTTTGCTCGATAAGACTCACTTTTTCCCTCCTAAAAAGTAAGGGGAAATGTGTGTGCGTCTTATGGCGCGAATGCAGGCTGCGCAGCTATCCCAGAAGCCAGAACAGCGAACAGCGCCTTCACTGCGCAGCGATCCCTCTTGCTGTTCTGGCTTCTGAGATTCAGAATATTTTGTTTCTTGTTTTCCTCCTCCAAAAACCAGGTGCTATTTATATATATATAGTTTTGCTGCAGCTGCCTTACAGTGTGCGAAGGACGTTGCTAAGGCCCTTGCAAGGCTGTTGCTAGAAGAAAAACCCGCTTGAGCCGCCAGGTGAAAGAGCAGGCGGAGCTTTCTGGGAGAGGGTTTCCATGGAGGTTGCTAAGGCCCTTTCAAGGCCGTCGCTGGAATAAAAACCCACTTGAACTGACTGGTGACAGAGCAGGAGGAGCCTTCTGGCAAAGGGTGTCATCGGCTGAGCGCTGAGCGCACCTCACTCCACCGCCACCAAAGGCGAGGGCAGCGTAGCAGCTCGGAGGCTGGCAGGGAGCTGGCGTGGCACAGCAGGAGGGGTCCCGCCCTGAGAACCCCTTCTTCCCTTCGGCTCGCTGTCCGCTCGACCCTTGGAGGGGGGCGGCTTGAGTAAAGGCCGGGGCGTGTGCACGTGCCTCCTCTCCTTCTCCCCGCAGATCTCTGAGGAGGAGATCGAGAGGATCATGTCCGGGCAGGAATTCGAAGGCGAGGCCAACATCTCGTGGAGCAACAACGGAGACAGCGACAACAGCTCCCCGGGAAATGGGGTCTCGGAGAGCAACCAGCCCTCGCCCGTCTCAACGCCGTCGTCAAGGTGGGACGCCGGGGGCGCGGGGAAAGGTTCTCGGGCCGGGCGAGAGCGGGAGTCGGGGGGGGGGTTAGGAGGCAGCTCTCGCACTCAGGCCCGGTAGCCTAGCAGGGTGCAATCGGCACATTGATTATTAACATCATTTATTCAATTTATGTACCCGGGGGTCTCGGTTGCCGTCTTCAAGGTGGGGGGCTGGGGGAAGATGCTCCAGTGGGTTTTGGGGGGGGGCTATTGGGTCGTTTTTATTTTGATTTGGGTTTTGTGATTGATTCTGTGGTTTCATATACATTATTGTTGATAATAATAGTTAATAAAGTGGGGGTTTGGGGGGGGTTTCATGTTGATTATATGTTTTTATGCTGATTCCATGGGGCTGCCCAGAGTGGCCGGGGAAATAACAAATTACGGCGATAACGTTTTGGGTTTATAATATATAAGCACACTAATAAATATAATAATTGTTGTTGTTGTTGTTGTTGCTGCGTCGTTTGGTCGTGTCCGACTCTATATAAAAATAATAAATTTTTATTTATGCCCCAGCCGAGACCGGGTTCAGGGCGGCTAACACTGAATATAAATGCAGTTTTATATTTTGATTTTGTTTCGTGAACCGTATAGTGCACTGCGGGACAGATGCCCTCCAGCTGTTGTCTGGACTACAACTCCCATCATCCCTCGCTCACAGGACCAGTGGGTCAGGGATGGTGGGAACTGTAGTCCCCAAACAGCTGTATGTTATATGGCTGTAGTAGAAATGTTACAAGGAATTAAGTATAAATAGATTAATAGAGTAATAAAGGGAAAATAAGGTTAAAATTGTGTTGATAATTATAGGATAGAAAACAGGGGATGATGGAAAGGAATTGCTGAAATAATTAATAGAAGTGGAATACAAAAAGGGAAGTGTGAGGAGGACGTGGAAATATGTGAAAGAAAGATAAGATATTGAAAAATATTTTTCTTCTTCTTTCAATGTGTTTTAAAAGTGGTTTTGTTTTGTTAATTTTTGTGCAGTGTTTTTGTATTGTAATGCACTGTTTTTTTCTAAATGTTTAAATTGTAAAAGTAATAAATATTATTAACAAACAGCTGGACGGCCAAGGGATCAGGCATAGCCCAAGCTGGCCCTCCAGCTCTTTTCTGTACTACAACTCCCATCATCCCTAGCTCCCAGGACCACTGGTCAGGGAAGATGGGAATTGTAGTGCCCAAACAGCCGGAAGGCGACGTCTGACTCCCATCATCCCTAGCTCCCAGGAGAAATGGTCAGGGAAGATGGGAATTGTAGTCCCCAAACAGCTAGAGGGCCACGTTTGACTCCCATCATCCCTAGCTCCCAGGAGCAGTGGTCAGGGAAGATGGGAATTGTAGTCCCCAAACAGATAGAGGGCCACGTTTGATTCCCATCATCCCTAGCTCCCAGGATCAGTGGTCAGGGAAGATGGGAATTGTAGTCCCCAAACTGCTAGAGGGCCACGTTTGATTCCCATCAGCTAGCTCCGGATCAGTGGTCAGGGAAGATGGGAATTGTAGTCCCCAAACTGCTAGAGGGCCACGTTGACTCCCATTCTCCCTAGCTCCCAGAGCAGTGGCCAGAAGATGGGATTGTAGTGCCCCAAACAGCCGGAAGGCCACGGTTTGACTCCCATCATCCCTAGCTTCCAGGAGCAGGTGGTCAGGGAAGATGGGAATTGTAGTCCCCAAGTAAGCTAGAGGGCCACGTTTGACTTCCCATCATCCCGTCGGCTCCAGAATCAGTGAGTCAGGGAAGATGGGAAATTGTAGTCCCCAAGTAGCTTAGAGGGCCACGTTTGACTCCCATCATCCCTAGCTCCCAGGAGCAGTCGTCAGGGAAGATGGGGAATTGTAGTTCCCCAAACAGCCGAAAGGGGGGCCCACCGTTTTTGACTCCCATATCCCTAGCTCCCAGGAGCCAGTGGTCAGGGAAGATGGGAATTGTAGTCCCCAAACAGCCAGAAGGGCCACGTTTGACTCCCATCATCCCTAGCTCCCAGGAGCAGTCGTCAGGGAAGATGGGAATTGTAGTCCCCCAAACAGCCAGAGGGCCACGTTTGACTCCCATCATCCCTAGATCCCAGGAGCAGTGGTCAGGGAAGATGGAATTGTAGTTCCCAAACAGCCCAGAGGGCCACGTTTGACTCCCATCATCCCTACCGTCGTAGGACCAGTGGTCAGGAAAGATGGGAATTGTAGTCCCCAAACCAGCCGGAAGGCCACTTTTGACTCCCATCATCCCTAAGCTCCCAGGAGCAGTGGTCAGGGGAAGATGGGAATTGTAGTCCCAAACAGCTAGAGGGCCACGTTTGACACCCATCATCCCTACCTCGTAGGACCAGTGGTCCAGGAAAGATGGGAATTGTAGTCCCCAAAACAGCCGGAAGGCCACTTTTGACTCCCCATCATCCCTAGCTCCCAGGAGCAGTGGTCAGGGAAGATGGGAATTGTTAGTCCCCAAACAGCTAGAGGGCCCACGTTTGACACCCATCATCCCTACCTCGTAGGACCATTGGTCAAGAAAGATGGGAATTGTAGTCCCCAAACAGCCGGAAGGCCACGTTTGAGTCCCATCATCCCTAGCTCCCAGGAGCAGTGGTCAGGGAAGATGGGAATTGTAGTCCCCAAACAGCTAGAGGGCCACGTTTGACTCCCATCATCCCTAGCTCCCAGGAGCAGTGGTCAGGGAAGATGGGAATTGTAGTCCCCAAACTGCTGCAGGGCGATGTTTGACTCCCATCATCCCTAGCTCCCGGGAGCAGTGGTCAGGGAAGATGGGAATTGTAGTCCCTAAACTGCTGGAGGGCCACGTTTGACTCCCATCATCCCTCGCTCCCAGGAGCAGTGGTCAGGGAAAGATGGGAATTGTAGTCCCCAAACAGCCGGAAGGCCACGTTTGACTCCCATCATCCCTAGATCCCAGGATCAGTGGTCAGGGAAGATGGGAATTGTAGTCCCCAAACAGCTAGAGGGCCACGTTTGACTCCCATCATCCCTAGCTCCCAGGACCAGTGGTCAGGGAAGATGGGAATTGTAGTCCCCAAACAGCTAGAGGGCCACGTTTGAGTCCCATCATCCGTAGCTCCCAGGAGCAGTGGTCAGGGAAGATGGGAATTGTAGTCTCCAAACAGCTAGAGGGCCACGTTTGAGTCCCATCATCCCTAGCTCCCAGGGGCAGTGGTCAGGGAAGATGGGAATTGTAGTCCCCAAACAGCTAGAGGGCCACGTTTGACTCCCATCATCCCTAGCTCCCAGGACCAGTGGTCATGGAAGATGGGTATTGTAGTCCCCAAACAGCTAGAGGGCCACGTTTGAGTCCCATCATTCGTAGCTCCCAGGAGCAGTGGTCAGGGAAGATGGGAATTGTAGTCCCCAAGTAGCTAGAGGGCCACGTTTGACTCCCATCATCCCTAGCTCCCAGGATCAGTGGTCAGGGAAGATAGGAATTGTAGTCCCCAAGTAGCTAGAGGGCCACGTTTGACTCCCATCATCCCTAGCTCCCAGGATCAGTGGTCAGGGAAGATGGGTATTGTAGTCCCCAAACAGCTAGAGGGCCACGTTTGAGTCCCATCATCCCTAGCTCCCAGGAGCAGTGGTCAGGGAAGATGGGAATTGTAGTCCCCAAACAGCCAGAGGGCCACGTTTGACTCCCATCATCCCTAGCTTGTAGGACCAGTGGTCAGGGAAGATGGGAATTGTAGTCCCCAAACTGCTAGAGGGCCACGTTTGAGTCCCATCATCCCTAGCTCCCAGGAGCAGTGGTCAGGGAAGATGGGAATTGTAGTCCCCAAACAGCCGGAAGGCCACGTTTGACTCCCATCATCCCTAGCTCCTAGGAGTAGTGGTCAGGGAAGATGGGAATTGTAGTCCCCAAACAGCTAGAGGGCCACGTTTGACTCCCATCATCCCTAGCTTTCCAGGAGCAGTGGTCAGGGAAGATGGGAATTGTAGTCCCCAAGTAGCTAGAGGGCCACGTTTGACTCCCATCATCCCTAGCTCCCAGGATCAGTGCAGTGGTCAGGGAAGATGGGAATTGTAGTCCCCAAACAGCCGGAAGGCCACGTTTGACTCCCATCATCCCTAGCTCCCAGGATCAGTGGTCAGGGAAGATGGGAATTGTAGTCCCCAAACAGCTAGAGGGCCACGTTTGACTCCATCATCCCTAGCTCCCAGGAGCAGTGGTCATGGAAGATGGGAATTGTAGTCCCCAAACAGCTAGAGGGCCACGTTTGAGTCCCATCATCCCTAGCTCCCAGGAGTAGTGGTCAATGAAGATGGGAATTGTAGTCCCCAAACAGCTAGAGGGCCACGTTTGACTCCCATCATCCCTAGCTTCCAGGAGCAGTGGTCAGGGAAGATGGGAATTGTAGTCCCCAAAGTAGCTAGAGGGCCACGTTTGACTCCCATCATCCGTAGCTCCCAGGATCAGTGGTCAGGGAAGATGGGAATTGTAGTCCCCAAGTAGCTAGAGGGCCACGTTTGACTCCCATCATCCCTAGCTCCCAGGATCAGTCGTCAGGGAAGATGGGTATTGTAGTCCCCAAACAGCTAGAGGGCCATGTTTGACTCCCATCATCCCTAGCTTGTAGGACCAGTGGTCAGGGAAGATGGGAATTGTAGTCCCCAAACTGCTAGAGGCCACGTTTGACTCCCATCATCCCTAGCTCCCAGGAGCAGTGGTCAGGGAAGATGGGAATTGTAGTCCCCAAACTGCTAGAGGGCCACGTTTGACTCCCATCATCCCTAGCTCCCAGGAGCCAGTGGTCAGGAAAGATGGGAATTGTAGTCCCCAAACAGCCGGAAGGCCACGTTTGACTCCATCATCCCTAGCTCCCAGGAGCAGTGGTCAGGGAAGATGGGAATTGTAGTCCCAAAGTAGCTAGAGGGCCACGTTTGACTCCCATCATCCCTAGCTCCCAGGACCAGTGGTCAGGGAAGATGGGAATTGTAGTCCCCAAACAGCTAGAGGGCCACATTTGACTCCCATCATCCCTAGCTCCCAGGAGCAGTGGTCAGGAAGATGGGAATTGTAGTCCCCAAACAGCCGGAGGGCCACGTTTGACTCCCATCATCCCTAGCTCCCAGGAGCAGTGGTCAGGGAAGATGGGAATTGTAGTCCCCAAACAGCCGGAAGGGCCACGTTTGACTCCCATTCATCCCTAGCTCCCAGGAGCAGTGGTCAGGGAAGATGGGAATTGTAGTCCCCAAACAGCTGGAGGGCCACGTTTGACTCCCATCATCCCTAGCTCCCAGGAGCAGTGGTCAGGGAAGATGGGAATTGTAGTCCCCAAACAGCCGGAGGGCCACGTTTGAGTCCCATCATCCCTAGCTCCCAGGAGCAGTGGTCAGGGAAGATGGGAATTGTAGTCCCCAAACAGCCGGAAGGCCACGTTTGACTCCCATCATCCCTAGCTCCCAGGACCAGTGGTCATGGAAGATGGGTATTGTAGTCCCCAAACAGCTAGAGGGCCACGTTTGACTCCCATCATCCCTAGCTCCCAGGACCACTGGTCAGGGAGGATGGGAATTGTAGTCCCCGAACAGCTAGAGGGCCACGTTTGAGTCCCATCATCCCTAGCTCCCAGGAGCAGTGGTCAGGGAAGATGGGAATTGTAGTCCCCAAACAGCTAGAGGGCCACGTTTGACTCCCATCATCCCTAGCTCCCAGGAGCAGTGGTCAGGGAAGATGGGAATTGTAGTCCCCAAACAGCTAGAGGGCCACGTTTGACTCCCATCATCCCTAGCTCCCAGGAGCAGTGGTCAGGGAAGATGGGAATTGTAGTCCCCAAACTGCTGCAGGGCGATGTTTGACTCCCATCATCCCTAGCTCCCGGGAGCAGTGGTCAGGGAAGATGGGAATTGTAGTCCCTAAACTGCTGGAGGGCCACGTTTGACTCCCATCATCCCTCGCTCCCAGGAGCAGTGGTCAGGAAAGATGGGAATTGTAGTCCCCAAACAGCCGGAAGGCCACGTTTGACTCCCATCATCCCTAGATCCCAGGATCAGTGGTCAGGGAAGATGGGAATTGTAGTCCCCAAACAGCTAGAGGGCCACGTTTGACTCCCTTCATCCCTAGCTCCCAGGACCAGTGGTCAGGGAAGATGGGAATTGTAGTCCCCAAACAGCTGGAAGGCTACATTTGACTCCCATCATCCCTAGCTCCCAGGAGCAGTGGTCAAGGAAGATGGGAATTGTAGTCCCCAAACAGCCGGAGGGCCACGTTTGACTCCCATCATCCCTAGCTCCCAGGAGCAGTGGTCAGGGAAGATGGGAATTGTAGTCCCCAAACAACCGGAAGGGCCACGTTTGAGTCCCTTCATCCCTAGCTCCCAGGAGCAGTGGTCAGGGAAGATGGGAATTGTAGTCCCCAAACAGCCGGAAGGGCCACGTTTGAGTCCCATCATCCCTAGCTCCCAGGACCAGTGGTCAGGGAAGATGGGAATTGTAGTCTCCAAACAGCCTGGAGGGCCACGTTTGAGTCCCATCATCCCTAGCTCCCAGGAGCAGTGGTCAGGGAAGATGGGAGTTGTAGTCCCCAAACAGCCGGAAGGCCACGTTTGAGTCCCATCATCCCTAGCTCCCAGGAGCAGTGGTCAGGGAAGATGTGAATTGTAGTCCCCAAACAGCTAGAGGGCCACGTTTGAGTCCCATCATCTGTAGCTCCCAGGACCAGCGGTCAGGGAAGATGGGAATTGTAGTCCCTAAACAGCTGGAAGGCCTACATTTGACTCCCATCATCCCTAGCTCCCAGGAGCAGTGGTCAGGGAAGATGGGAATTGTAGTCCCCAAACAGCCGGAAGGCCACGTTTGACTCCCATCATCCCTAGCTCCCAGGACCAGTGGTCAGGGAAGATGGGTATTGTAGTCCCCAAACAGCTAGAGGGCCACGTTTGAGTCCCATCATCCCTAGCTCCCAGGACCAGTGGTCATGGAAGATGGGTATTGTAGTCCCCAAACAGCTAGAGGGCCACGTTTGACTCCCATCATCCCTAGCTCCCAGGACCACTGGTCAGGGAGGATGGGAATTGTAGTCCCCGAACAGCTAGAGGGCCACGTTTGAGTCCCATCATCCCTAGCTCCCAGGAGCAGTGGTCAGGGATGATGGGAATTGTAGTTCCCAAACTGCTGGAGGGCCACGTTTGAGTCCCATCATCCCTAGCTCCCAGGACCAGTGGTCAGAGAAGATGGGTATTGTAGTCCCCAAACAGCTAGAGGGCCACGTTTGACTCCCATCATCCCTAGCTCTCAGGACCAGTGGTCAGGGATGATGGGAATTGTAGTTCCCAAACTGCTGGAGGGCCACGTTTGAGTCCCATCATCCCTAGCTCCCAGGACAGGGATGATGGGAATTGTAGTCCCCAAAAATCCTCAATTCTGGCCATCATTGTTATAGGGTGATATATTGACTCAATCAAACAATCAATCATGGCATGGATTGGTGGAAGCTCTGGACCCCCGCTCTTCCATTTCCTGCGCCCCCTTTCCCTGCCTCTTAACCCCCGCCTTGCCTCTTCCAGCAGATCTGTTGAGCTGAACGGATTTGCTGCACTCAGGGATCCATACCTGGGGGGCCCGGGGCCCGCCCCCTACCAATACCTCCCGCACCTTCAGAGCTGCCCGGCGCACTCGGCCCTGCTGCCCCCGCCCCCCCGGAGCCTCGACCCCCAGGCTCCCGCTCTCCTCATCAGCCAGCTGGTCTCGGCCGAGGACCTGGACCCCCTCGGCACCCCCATGCTCATCGAAGACGGGTGAGTGGCGCACCCCCTTTCTGCCCGCTGGTGGCCCCCTCAGAGCAGCACAGTGGGGAGCCTTGTCACACCGGGGGGGGGGGGACAAAGCCGCTTCTGGCAAACCAGAGCAGCGCACGGAAATGCCGTTTACCTTCCCTCTGGAGCGGGACGTATTGATGCACTTTTGATGTGCTTTCAATCTGCTAGGTTAGCGGGAGCAGGGACTGAGCGACGGGCGCTTGCCCTGTGACGGGGATTTGAACCGACTGCCCTAGGCTCAGTGATTTAACCCTCAGCACCACCCGCGTCCTTTAAAAAATGCAAAGCAGACCCGTGAAAAAGAAACCGACGGAGGGGTGGCATTAAACGGTGCGAACGCAACGTCGGCAGGCGGGCCCATAAGCGGCACTCGCTTTGGTCCTCTAAGCGCTCTCCCTCCCGCAGGTACAAAGTGACCCAGTCGGAGCTCTTTGCGCTGCTGTGCCGACTGGCCGATGAGCTCCTTTTCCGCCAGATCGCCTGGGTCAAGAAGTTGCCCTTCTTTGGCGAGCTGTCCATCAAGGACTACACCTGTCTCCTGGGCTCCACCTGGCAGGAGCTGGCCCTCCTCTCCTCGCTGACCGTCTATGGCCACCAGATTTTCGGAGACCTGGCTGACGTCACCGCCAAGTACTCCCCGTCCGACGAGGAGCTCCAGAGGTGAGGCTGATGGGGGGGGGGGAGACAGTGGCGGAACTGAGAAATGGCACAGAAACATTACCTTTACAGAACGCTACGTTACGGAAGCACCTCTTACATCTCACTTCTTAGAAGCTAAACGTAAGGCAATGGATTTCAGATGGTTGATCATTTATAAACCTCAAACTCCTGAGATAAATGCAGATATTTTGAGAAAGAAATTGCTACGGAAAGAAACGTATTGGATTTTTAGATTTGGTTCTTTAGTTCCGTCAGGTCTCAATTCTTATATCGACTTTGGTTCCTTCTTGTAGTAATTTCTTACAACTCTATTTAATATTATTCTGGTTATTCTTTGCAAATCTTAGCAATCCCACCCTTTCTTTGAACTAGATGGTCTGTCCCTTTAAAAATTCTTTTGCCTTACAGTATAAAAACCTGTGATTGGAAACTCCCTGTACCAGTCTTTAACATCAGCAGTCAGGAGCTTTTCAGCCCTGTTTTTGAGTTTCTTTGAAACTTAAACAGCTTATCTCGTATTCCTCTGTAAGTTTTTCCTAAAACCTTTTTGTAAAGGCTATACTAGAATTTTTATAGCTGACCCCTCAATTTCTTATTACTACTGCTTGGCTCTCTTAAATAGGGCTACCGTATTTTTCCCTCTATAAGACGCTCCGAAGGCTTTGGGTTCCTTTTGCTGAAGCCAGGAGAGCAAGACTCTCCTTGGCTTCAGCGAAGGCAACTCCAGCTGCGCTCCGAAGGCTTCAGGGATAGCTGCCCAAAATTCTGAAGTATTATAATCCTGGCTCGACCCCCCAGGTAAAGCAAAACACAGTAATAAAGGGTTGAGGACTCAAAAAGTACCGTTTCCGATACTGAATTTACAAAAAAGCTAAATGGCATTTTTTAAACAAAGCCCAGCTTGAAGAAAGCAAAGTACAGCAATAAAGGTTCATTCTAGTGCTGCTTTTTAAAAAAAGGTTTAAAAACCGAAATGGCACAAATTCAAAGAAAGGAATACAAGATAAAGCCATTTTAGATTTTAAACAGACTCAAGAACGGGGCTGAAATGCTCCCATGGTCTAGATGTTACTGCTGATGTTAAAGACTAATACTGGGTGTTTCCAATCACAGGTTTATATAATATAGGGTGAAAAAATTTTTTTAAAGAGACAGGCCGTCTTGTTCAAACAATGGGTGGGATTGGTAAAAGTTGGGGGGGGGGAATAACAGAAATGATATTGAACGGAGTTGTAGAAAATTATAGATTCAAAAATACAAGAATAGTTTTGACTCGGTGCTGGCATTCGAGTGATAAAGGAACTAAAGGTGGACAACAATTAAGGATTTATTATGTTTTCAGAACGGGTTGGAAAATTGATATAGAAAGGTTTATTGTTTGGTGTACATACGGTTGTGAGATAAAGTATACGCAAAGGGACTTGACGGGAAGTCAAAGTTGAAGAAAGGGTTTTGTAAGATAAAAGGGGGGATATTTCCTTTCGTTATTATCATTTTGTGTGTGTGTGTGTGTGTGTGTGTACATATGTGTGTTTTCGTATGGAAGGTTTGGGAGGAAATAAGATGGTAGATAAAAAGTAACCAGCTCAATATTGATGTGCGTCATTTTTATTTCTTAAATTATATTTAGTGGTAGTATGGTTGTCTTGTTTTTGGTAACAGAAAACCATTCAATAGAAATTATTATTTTTTAAAAGAAAAAAATTATAAAAACTAACTGAAGTCAATCTAAGCATTGAGACCTGCCCCGTCTCGTTTCGGGTCCAGCGTTGCATCAGGATGCCGCTCGGGAAAGTCTCGCCAGTAATCCGTAAACAGCCCCCCGTGTTGCAATATGGACAAGCCGAACAAAATAACGCAACGTGATGGCCAATAACAATGGCGCTAAACGCTATTTATAGGCAGAAATTGCAAATGGCAAAGTCTCTAAATCTTCTTCACCAATGTAAGAATCTTTCGTGATCGGCCTTCTTTCTTTCTTTATTTTTTAAAAGATATTTATTAAAATTTTCAAAATATTACAAAATGAAAAAAGAAAAAAGAAAAATACAAAATAAAAATAGTTAAAAAACAATTCCATCTTTCCATCACTTATCTTTCATTTGCTTGTTTCCCGGACCTCCTCACACCTCCCTTTTTGTATTCCAGTTCAATTTGTTAGTTCAGCAAATCCTTTCCCTCTTTGTTTATCCTAGTCTTTAATCTTAAAATATTGTAACATTAAGTTTTTACCTGTTAATAATCCATTTTTTCATATTCCTTATAGCGTTATAGCTAAAAACCACATAACTTTTTATCCAACATCATTCTAACATTCATTAATTTTACAATATTTCTGTAGATAGTCTTTAAATTTCTTCCAATCTTCTTCCACCGACTTTTCTCCCTGGTCTCGTATTCTGCCGGTCATTTCTGCCAGTTCCATATAGTCCAGGCGATCGGCCTTCTTTATGGTCCAGCTCTCACTTCCATTCATCACTACTGGGAAAACCATGGCTTGAACTATACGGACCTTTGTCGGCAAAGTGACGTCTCTGCTTTTTAAGATGCTGTCTAGGCCTGTCATTGCTTTTCTCCCAAGAAGCAGGCGTCTTTTAATTTCGTGGCTGCTGTCACCATCTGCAGTGATCATGGAGCCCAAGAAAGTAAAATCTCTCACTGCCTCCATTTCTTCCCCTTCTATTTGCCAGGAGGTGATGGGCCCAGTGGCCATGATCTTGGGTTTTTTGATGTTGAGCTTCAGACCATATTTTGCACTCTCCTCTTTCACCCTCATTAAAGGGTCCTTTAATCCCTCCTCGCTTTCTGCCATCAAAGTTGTGTCATCTGCACATCTGAGGTTGTTGATATTTCTTCCGGCCTTTGGCTTCATCCAGTCCAGCCTTTGCGTGATGAATTCTGTATATAATTTAAATAAGCAGGTAGACAAATGTACAGCCTGGTTGTACTCCTTTTCCAATTTTTTCATTTTTTAAAAATCATTTTTATTAAGTTTCCCATTTTAACCATCCAATCAAATCACGTTGTTGTTGTTGTTGTTGTTGTTGTTGTTGAGTCGTGTCCGACTCTTCGTGACCCCACGGACCAGAGCACGCCAGGCCCCCCTGTCTTCCACTGCCTCCCGCAGTTTAGTCAAACTCATGCTGGTAGCTTCGAGAATACTGTCCCACCATCTCATCCTCTGTCATCCCCTTCTCCATGTGCCCTCCATCTTTCCCAACATCAGGGTCTTCTCTTTCTTCTTGTGAGGTGGCCAAAGTCTTGGAGCCTCAGCTTCAGGATCTGTCCTTCCAGTGAGCACTCAGGGCTGATTTCCTTCAGAATGGAGAGGTTTGATCTTCTTGCAGTCCATGGGACTCTCAAGAGTCTTCTCCAGCGCCAGAATTCAAAAGCATCCGTTCTTCGGCGATCAGCCTTCTTGATGGTCCAGCTCTCACTACTGGGAAATCACATTAAATGTTCCAGATTATACAAATACGTGTCCATTAGTCAAAATATTCTGCCTAAATTGTAAAAAAAAAAAATTGGTTCCAGTTTGGTTTGGGGCTACTCCTTTCCCAATTTTGAATCAGTTGGTTGTTCCGTGTCCAGTCTAGGGCGAGGCTAAAGAGGATCAAAACCGGGGGCCCTCTTGCCTGTGCAGCTGCGATGCTCCCCCCTTTCTATACGCACGCTGTCGTGTCCGTGCGAAGGCGGCACGGAGGATCTTGTTCCCACGCCTTGCGCCAAGCGGGCTTCCTTAGGACCCCGTGCCCCTCTCTCCTGCTGCTGCTTCCTCCCCAGCCTCCTTGCCAGTCAGTTCCCAGCTTCACCCAAAGAGCGTGAATCCGAGCTGGGTTAAGCGTCTCTCCCCGCCCAGACCTGGGGACCTCGGAGCCGAGCTGGTGGAATTTCTCGATGGGGATAGTTCCTCGCAGGGGCCACCTTTGCAGCTCAACGGCTAACAGATAGGGGTTGAATCCTGACAAGACAGATGTACTGTTTTGGGGGGACCTGAGGCGGGCAGGTGTGGAGGACTCCCTGGTCCTGAATGGGATAACTGTGCCCCTGAAGGACCAGGTGCGCAGCCTGGGAGTCATTCTGGACTCATAGGTGTCCATGAAGGCGCAGGTCAATTCCGTGTCCAGGGCAACTGTTTATCAGCTCCATCTGGTATGCAGGCTGAGACCCTACCTGCCCAGAGTGGTGCATGCTCTAGTTATCTCCCGCTTGGACTACTGCAATTCGCTCTATGTGGGGCTACCTTTGAAGGTGACCCGGAAACTACAACTAATCCAGAATGCGGCAGCCAGATTGGTGACCGGGAGCGGCCGCCAAGACCACATAACACTGGTGTTGAAAGACCTGCATTGGCTCCCAGTACGTTTCCGAGCACAATTCAAAGGGTTGGTGCTGACCTTTAAAGCCCTAAACGGCCTCGGTCCTGTATACCTGAAGGAGTATCTCCACCCCCATCGTTCAGCCAAACACTAAGGTCCAGCTCTGAGGGCTTTCTGGTAGTTCCCTCACTGCACTCTCATCAGATGTCCAAGAGAAAAATAACTGCCAAACTTTTAGAAGACATTTGAAGGCAGCCCTGTTTAGGGAAGCTTTTAATGTTTAATAGGTTATTGTATTTTGATACTCTGTTGGAAGCCGCCCAGAGTGGCTGGGGAAACCCAGCCAGATGGGCGGGGTATAAATAATAAATTATTATTATTATTATTATTATTATTATTCAAATCAATCATGATTACGTTCCAAGACCTGACAAATTGTTACAAAGCGATGCAAAATTCAGCCAGCCTGCCTCCAGGTTAAACGAGCGTTTTGTTCAAAAGAATAGGGATCCTTGGTTCTCGCAACCACCGATAAGAACTTTGCCACTGCTGATGTTCTAGTGTTTGTCCGGTCTTCCAAGAGGAACCTGGCATAGTGAGCTCCTGATTTTCCCGGGAAAAGCTACCAGCAAGGGGAATATCAGTTCAGCCCTGGTTTGCTCATATTTTGCACAGTGCAGCAAAACATGTTTTATACGTGTGATTGAGATCACAAGTCACTATGTGCATGATCCCATAATCTTTGCTTTAACGTCTTTTGGGCGCCTTCATAACCCTGATGATGATTTATTTGTTGAATTTAATACCATCCTATACCTGGAGGTCTCAGGGCGGTTCTGGAACGGGATCTAGGATAGTTCCTGGAGGGCTTGCCTGATGCCAAACTCCCTCCCTCCCTGCCCGCCTCCCCTCTACAGGTTCAGCGAAGAAGGGATGGAGGTGATGGAACGGCTTATCTACCTGTACCGCAAGTTTGGCCAGCTCAAGGTCGGCAAGGAGGAATACGCCTGCATGAAAGCCATCAATTTCCTCAACCAAGGTGAGCCTCCGCAGGAGACGCCCTCTCTCTTCTTTTATTTGCATTTTCAAAAAACAGGAATAGTGCGTTATATTATTATGATTATGATTGTGGTACTTCAGGTTACATACGCTTCAGGTTACAGACGTTCAGGTTACAGACTCTGCTAACCCAAAAATAGTGCTTCAGGTTAAGAACTTTGCTTCAGGATGAGAACAGAAATTGTCCTCCGGCGGCGTGGCGGCAGCAGGAGGCCCCATTAGCTAAAGTGGTGCTTCAGGTTAAGAACAGTTTCAGGTTAAGAATAGACCTCCGGAATGAATTTAGTATTTAACCTGAGGTACCACTGTATTATGGGACGCGGGTGGCGCTGTGGGTAAAAGCCTCAGCGCCTAGGGCTTGCCGATCGAAAGGTCGGCGGTTCGAATCCCCGCGGCGGGGTGCGCTCCCGTTGTTCGGTCCCAGCGCCTGCCAACCTAGCAGTTCGAAAGCACCTCCGGGTGCAAGTAGATAAATAGGGACCTCTTACTAGCGGGAAGGTAAACGGCGTTTCCGTGTGCGGCTCTGGCTCGCCAGAGCAGCGATGTCACACTGGCCACGTGACCCGGAAGTGTCTCCGGACAGCGCTGGCCCCCGGCCTCTTGAGTGAGATGGGCGCACAACCCTAGAGTCTGGCAAGACTGGCCCGTACGGGCAGGGGTACCTTTACCTTTACCACTGTATTATTATCAACTGAATTTATATACCGCCTTACACCCAGTGGTCTAAGGGCGGTTCACAGAAAACTCCCTTCCCTCCCTCTGCCCCAGTTCCTACCAGGTAAGCCCTGTAGAGTGCAGTGGGTCTTACCTGTGGGTAAGTGTGTGTATGATTTGAAGCATGGCCTCCCATTAGTCCACTTTGCCTGTGAAGAAGGGATCTGCTTCATCCCAGATTTTGGGGTCCCAGGCGGAACAACAGACCCACATGGACCGTCTCCCTCCTGAACCTTATGGAAGGGCAGGTGTGCGTGTGAGAGTGGAGAGGGGCCACTTCTGTGCTCAGCCCTCAGCTGAGAGTGGATTCGGGACCTCACTTGGGCCTGGGGAATCCGAGTTCGAATCCCTTTCCGAAAGGTAAAGGGACCCCTGACTGTTAGGTCCAGTCAAGGACAACTCTGGGGTTGTGGTGCTCATCTCACTTTATTGGCCGAGGGAGCCGGCATACAGCTTCTGGGTCATGTGGCCATCATGACTAAGCCGCTTCTGGCGAACCAGAGCAGCACACGGAAATGCCGTTTACCTTCCCGCCGGAGCGGTACCTATTCATCCACTTGCACTTTGACAAGCTTTCTGCTAGGTTGGCAGGAGCAGGGACCGAGCAACGGGAGCTCACCCCTTGCGGGGATTCGAACCACCAACCTTCTGATCGGCAAGCCCTAGGCTCTGTGGTTTAGACCAGGCATGGGCAAACTCGGCCCTCCAGATGTTTGGAGACTACAATTCCCACTATCCCTGACGACTGGTCCAGCTAGTTAGGGTGATGGGAGTTGGAGTCCCAAAACATCTGGAAGGCCGAGTTTGCCTATGCCTGGTTTAGACCACAGCGTCTCCCGCATCCCTACAACTTCCCTTCCACACTTTCCCTGTTCTCTTTCCGACCATCCCATTTGTTATCGAATCAATACTCTTTTATCAATTTCAACTTGGCTGGATATACACAAAGCTTGCTAAGCTACGTTGTTTGTCTGTGCCGGTTCTTGAAATAGTACATGAACATTATACATTCCTTCTTAGATTCCTTGTCTTCGTTTTCTCTTACCCTGTTCATCAACAGGTTCAAACATTTTACACTGCCATTCTTCCTTAGTGGGTACTAGATTTGTGCCAATCTTCCCTTCTTCTTCTTCTTCTTCTTCTTCTTCTTCTTCTTCTTCTTCTTCTTCCTTTCTTCTTCTTCTTCTTCTTCTTCTTTTGGTGATCACTTGTAGCCGAGTAAGATTGTATTCCATAAACACGGTTTTAACAATGAGTTCGTAAGTGACTGTGGAGGCCAGTTCTGGATCCACACGTCCTTCCACAGTGGGCACATTAGTTTCCGGGCGGGAGTTGATCACAGTGTGGATTTGCCAGGCATGCCTTCCTCTTAACACTTTTCTCCCTTGCGTCCTGAGTTCGAGTGTCTTCAAAGCCCATGACACCTTTGGTCAAGGCTGTTCTCCAACTGGAGCGCTCACAGGCCAGTGTTTACTAATTGTCAGTGTTTATACTACATTTTTAAAGATTTGCCTTGAGAGAGTCTTTAAACCTCTTTTGTTGACCACCAGCATTACGCTTTCCATTTTTAAGTTCAGAATAGAGTAGTTGCTTTGGAAGACGATCATCAGGCATCCACACAACATGACCGGTCCAACAAAGTTAATGTTGAAGAATCATTGCTTCAACAGTGGTGATATTTGCTTCTTCCAGTGATATTAGTTCGCCTGTCTTCCCAAGTGATGTGTAAAATTTTTTGGAGACACTGTTTATGGAATCTTTCAAGGAGTTAGAGATGGTGTTTATAGGGGGTCTATATTTCACAAGCATTTGGTAAGGTTGGTAGTACAATAGCTTTGTAAACAAGCATTTTGGTTTCCCTGCGAATGTCCCGGTCCTCAAACACTCTGTACTTCAATCGGAAGAAAGCCGCACTCGCAGAGCTCAGGCGATGCTGGATTTTGGCATCAATGTTGGTCCTTGTGGAAAGATAACTGCCTAGGTAGGAGAAGTGATTGACATTTTCCAATGTTACACCACTGAGTTGGATTTGTGGCACTGCAGAGGGGTTATTTTGTACTTGTTGGTGCAGCACTTTGGTTTTTTGGATGTTGAGAGATAGAAGCTTTTCGTAAGCTTCTGCAAAGATATTTAGGATGGTTTGGAGGTCATCCTCTGAGCGTGCGCACACTACATTCTAGCTGCAGCGGAGGCGTATAGTAGTACAATAAACCCTTTTTTTGGGGCGGGACCTCCGTTGTTACTATCCCCCATCTCACCTGTTTCGGGGAACGTATCTTTTTCAATTCATTATTGCAAAATCGCACCTACCAGCCAAAGTCACTGGCTGCTGCCAAAAGGAAGCAGATCTTCAAACGAGATAAAACTATATCCCAAACTTGAGGACATTAAATTAGGATTAATAAAAAATTGGGGGGGAAACGGAAGGTGAAAAAAGGAAGTGAACTTCCGTTCTCCGAGGACAAGCGCTGCAGATTGCAATTTGTGAACAGGAGAGGGAAATTAATTACGGCCTCTTTTAGTTACAGGTGGGTAGCCGTGTTGGGCTGCCATAGTCGAAACAAAATTAAAAAATTCCTTCCAGTAGCACCTTAGAGACCAGCTAAGTTTGTATTGGTTCAATGGGAGGAGAAGCAGAGAGAGACAATAGAACATTTCTTTTGGACATTTCGGCCAATCTGGTGGGTGTTAAAGACCATCTGGGTATTTACCAGTATTTTCACTGGTAAATGAAAATAATAATCTGTGGGCCGTTGTCGTGTTTTCTTTGATCGCGTAACAAGGCGTAAAATTCATATTCCTCCCCCCCCAATTCATAAACAATATTGTGACCTCCTCTCCCTCGCTCAGCCTGTGCACCCGGTGTCTCTGGCAAGGACTGGAACGGACATTGTAGGAACTGCGGCTCCTGTTCCCTTCGAGCGGAGCTGGGACCGGCCCTTGGCAGCTGGAATTGGGAAAACCCCACCACAAACTTCTCTTTCTCTTTTTAATGTGATTTTTATAAAATTTTCTGTTATACAATTTCAGCTAAACATTTTACATACTTAAGATCTCAGTGACTTCCCTTCTTTGCTTTCAGTGTTTCATTCCGTATCTTAGATCCCTGCATATTTTACAGAAAACATACCCATCAGTTTTCCATTATTTACATCCATCCAAACTTACTTACACTGTTGAATTTATCTTAATGCAGACAGCATTTTCAGCTACACACCGTTATTTTCTGTATATTTTCCATATATTCAGTAAATGTTGTCCAGTCTTCTTTAAGTATAAGCTCTTTCTGTTCCCTTATTCTACATGTTAAGACTACAAGTTGTGCATATTCTGTCAGCTGAAGTTGCCAATCTCCTTTGGTTGGTCATTTTCCATTTTTGGGCTAACAAAATATGGGCCGCAGCAGTAACCTACGTAGATATCCTTTTCTGACACCTGGGAATTTCAGCCTGAATTATCCCAACAGAAAGGACTCTGCTTTTGGGGGGGGGGGTTAGAGTAATTTTAAACATGTTTTTCAATTAATTATAAATCATTTCCCAATACCCTTTTATGGCCTCGTACTTCTCACTCCTTCTGTGGGACTATGGGCCAACTCCTTTCCCTGTTCACACAGACAGGAGAAAACAGGATTATCAACCTTGCTCTCCTCCTGCCAGCTGGAGACATTGTGGGGCTGGCAAGACACATCCATAAATGTGAGGGGGGGGGTCTGTTGGGAACACCTGCTCTTGGCTCTGGGGGGAGGCAGGGGGTTTCCTTTCCTCTCTCCCACCTACTGCTGCTGCTGCTACTACTACTTGCCCTTACTCTTCCGCGTTCGGGGCAGCCTGGCCCACGGGGGATTTCCGCAGAGTCAGATTTGCTTCACGGCCTCTCATACAAAGCCAGTGGACAGGCGGCGTTTCAGCAGCCGCACTGTGGGAAGGGCTGCCTGCCTGGGCCCAGCGAAGTGGCTGCCAGTTGGGTTCCTCCTCTTTGCCTCCAGCTTGCGAGTGGAGCCCCGGGTTTCCTTCGTGGTGGATTCAGAATTCAAGACCCACATATCAACTTTGCTTGGCCCCTCCCAAGGTCTCTCTTCCCCCTTTAGCTGGGCTCCAGATCCCATCATCTGCTGGCCACACTGGCTGGTGCTCAGGGGAGTCAGGAGTCCGGCAGCCGTTGAAGGTCCCAGGCTCCTCTGGTCCAGACTGTCCGCGATTTGGTCTCAGCTCCTGGAGGAGCTGCCCCATGGCCAACCAACAGAAGTTAGAATCATAGAATTGGAAGAGACCACAAGGGCCATCGAGTCCAACCCCCTGCCAAGCAGGAAACACCATCAGAGCACTCCTGACATATGGTTGTCAAGCCTCTGCTTAAAGACCTCCAAAGAAGGAGACTCCACCACACTCCTTGGCAGCAAATTCCACTGTCAAACAGCTCTTACTGTCAGGAAGTTCTTCCTAATGTTTAGGTGGAATCTTCTTTCTTGTAGTTTGGATCCATTGCTCCGTGTCCGCTTCTCTGGAGCAGCAGAAAACAGCCTTTCTCCCTCCTCTATGTGACATCCTTTTATATATTTGAACATGGCTATCATATCACCCCTTAACCTCCTCTTCTCCAGGCTAAACATGCCCAGCTCCCTTAGCCGTTCCTCATAAGGCATCATTTCCAGGCCTTTGACCATTTTGGTTGCCCTCCTCTGGACACGTTCCAGTTTGTCAGTGTCCTTCTTGAACTGTGGTGCCCAGAACTGGACACAGTACTCCAGGTGAGGTCTGACCAGAGCAGAATACAGTGGCACTATTACTTCCCTTGATCTAGATGCTATACTCCTATTGATGAGGCCCAGAATTGCATTGGCTTTTTTAGCTGCCGCGTCACACTGTTGGCTCATGTCAAGTTTGTGGTTTATTTAACTACAAATACTTACTCTGGGGGCTTGCTTCTGGGGCCTTCCTCTCCTTCTCGGCCCCTGCACCTTTTATCAGCATCGTGGCAGTTGGCGGGAGGGTGGGGAGTGGGGACAGGATGGGGCGCTTGTTCCTGCCCCACTCGTCACAAGCGTGGTTTCTTCTGCTCAGATATCCGAGGCCTGACGAACACCTCCCAGCTGGAGCAGCTGAACAAGAGGTGTTGGTACGTCTGCCAAGATTTCATGGAGTTCAAGTACCCGCACCAGCCGAACCGGTTCCCAGATCTGATGATGTGCTTGCCGGAGATCCGCTACATTGCAGGTGAGACTCTCTCAGGGGTCGTTCTGGTTCCCCTGCCCCTTGGAGCTTGGAGGGAGAAGCCTCTCTGCCTCTCTCCGGCTGCACTGCCAGCGTGTGGGAGCCTCCATCCCACCTGCAGAAGTGCAGTCCAGAGCAGCTGGTGGGCAGCTCCAGGGGAGGCAGGGAGGTTGCTGAAACAAACTAATAGCTCACCTAGCCCCTCATCCTGGAGGCCGTGGGGCCAGCCAGATGCCCACCCAGAAGCAGGAGTGCAAGAGCCCTCTCCCCGTGGGGGCGGAGGTGGAGCCTAGCCACCCTGGAGGCAGCAGTGCTTCTGAATGCCAGCTGCTGGGAGCCGCGGGGGGGGGGGAGAGAGGGTTGTGGGTTTGCCTTTGGGGCGCCTGCTTGGCCCCTGGGAGAGCAGCCTGCTGGACTCTGGTTGGCCCCGTGAGCCTGACCTGGCAGGGCTCCTTCATGCCGCCTTCGACACGGGGCAGCTAACCAAGATTGTGTTCTTGTCTTGGCAGGGAAAATGGTGAACATCCCGTTGGAGCAGCTGCCTCTCCTCTTTAAGGCTGTTCTGCACTCCTGCAAGGCCAGCGTGAGCAAAGAGTGAGCAGCCGCCTCTTCCCCCCTCCCTCAGGAGTAAGAGGAGGGGGAGGAGGAGGCACATGCCATTGATGGAATGGCTGCAGCTGGGCAGTGGGTAGCCTTGCTGTTGCGGCAGGAATCTTTGTGGGGTTGGTTGCTTGGTTTCCTCTGTTTTTCTTGTTCTTTTTACTATTTTCCTATGATATTTATTTCACGACAAAGTTGAATGTATGATCTTCAACCCCGTGCACAGCATTCCGTCCGAATGCAGCCATTGAGTCCTCTCACAGTTTACAGAATGTGAAGATGTTTGTTAACAGTGTTTTTTAGGGTTAGACCTCTTTTTTTTAACCAGGGCTGGAGGCTGATGACTTAAGACTACCTCAAGGAGAAGGTGCTGGGCTCCTCTCTTTCTGTGGGACCTGCACCCAAAGTGTTTGTTCTGTTGGGGCAGTCGGCCCTTCCTTGGAGGCCGGAATCTGCTCTCCCCTAGAGAAGTGCCAAGTGCTGTGGCTGCCCCACTCCCCCCCCCTCTTCTCAATTGGCTGCCCACAGAGCACCTCAGATACACACCCCACCTGCTTGAGGTCCCTCTTGGCACTCCAGACCCAGCAGCCGTTAACCCCTCACTTTACCACAAAAGCGCAAGGTTGCAAGGATGATGGCTGAGTCTCAGCGGGTGAGATGGCAGCCCCTTCCTCACAGTTTTGAGGGGTCTGCTCTAGACTTTCCCTCGCCCTGCCCCCCACCTGTGAAAGAAAGCTGGGACAAGCAGGGAGGCAGCTCTGTGGCCTTCAAAGGGGAAGTGAGTTTCCGGGTTCCCTCTGGACACCCCTTCAGACTGTCATTCTTAGCCCTTGGAAAGGGGCCCTCGCAAGACTCGCCAGGTTGTGCTTGGTCTTTGCATGGTGGGAGGCTCTCTCCCCTATTCACACTCAGTGGGCTCTCCAGTTCCCAGAGGCCCCTCCTCCTCCTCCACCCATGTCACACTCCTTCTTGGCTCCATGCTTAACAGACGCTCACAGCAAGAGAGGCTTCTCTGTGAGTGTCTTCTTCTAAGGCCTTCAGGCGGGGGGTGGGAGCCCCACACACTGGCTAAAGCCGCAGTCGGCAGACACAAAGAGAGGCTGGAAAGGACTGACCTGAATTAGCCCATCTCACCTGTTCAGCCCATCTCATAAGCACACGCAGAGGCAGCCCCAGTGTTGCTGCCACGGCCAGCGCCCCCCAGCCTCGCTTTTTGCTGCACCCCACTGCACCCTGTTTACATTTGGAGGCTTGGCATATTTCTAGGGGAGATCCTGACACAGGTTGGCCTGGGAAGCGCAAGTGGGAAAGGCGACTGCAGCCTGAGCATCAGGGAAACTCACAGGCCCCTCCCCACGGCCAGCCCCGCCTAGAGCTCCTTTGGACCCCTGGCATTTGCTTTGTGGGTGGGGGGGGGATGTCACCCACAGGGCTCTCTTTGCTTGACTTCCCCACACTCAACGCTGCTCTTGCTGATTCCAGCAAGGTGAAACGGGTAAATGGCCCTGCTGTGGCCAGCGCTCTGTGGCCTTTTGTGCGTCACAGACCGGTGTCACTGCCCTTTTGCTTTTTCCATTGGTCCAAGTAGCATTTGTAACCCCCCCTCCCCGCCACTTTGGAAAGCCTTCTGCTTTGACACGATATACCTCAAGGGGTGGGGGGGCGTGCAAGTGCTGCGTTCCCTATCTGCCCTTCTGTCTGTCTGCCTGTATGTTGTCTGTGTCGCAAAACTAGAAAGTGCTGCCTGCCAGGACATTTGTGTTATTTTTTGTGTTTTGTGTTTTGTTTTGTTCGGGGGGGGGGGGGAGCTGTCCACAATACCTCTGATTGACCCATTCATTACCTTCTGGTTTGCTCCTTTTACGTAGCAGGGATTCTATACATTGCACAAGACTGCGGAGTCTAGCCCATCACTCGGCATTTCATAGAAACCTCACAGATCTGTGGCCGTGGGATTTTCCAGGACCTCTCTGCTGTCCCCCCCCCTCCCCTCCTGCATATTTCAAAGGTGACTTGACTCAGGAAGGAGAGAGGCATTGCAGACTGTGCAGGAGGAGGGGGGGTGGCTGTGTGAGAGGACTCTCCGCTGGCCATTGTGTAAGGCCCCCCGCATTCACAGCATCCCTCCGTTGACACACCAAAGCCTCTGTTTATCTCTGGGAGCAGGGAGAGCCAGGCTGAACTCAGGCTCAAGCCAAAGGCTAATGCAGTGAGCCAGAAGGTAACTCATTGGGCTGTCGTTAATGCCTCCCGCAACCAAGCCCGCTGACGGCTTGTTTGGTTTTGAAACAGGGTAAAGTGAATGTAATGCTTTGCGGACTCAGGTATTATGTGAAGAAAATAGGAACTGTAGCTTAGAGACGTAGGGACCGTAGGTCACTCATGTAGATGGATTTGTGAATTTGGTTTGAAGGACACTGTGCAAAGGTTGGAATTCTCTTTCTGTGCTATCTTTTGTTCAATGGTCATTTTGCAAAAACAAAAGGGGGAACTGTATAATAACGTGCTTAATGCTGTGTGGGAGAGGAGGGAGAGAGGAGAGCTCTGCTATTTCTGGTTTCTCCCCTGCTGGGCCCAGCAGCCCACCTGCCACAGGGACATCCCTGCTGCAGTTTGTCTGGGCTTTTTCCTTTAGCATGATTGATTGGTTGAGTTTATTTGTTTGCTGCTTTTCTGCAGTGAACTGAGCCCAAAGCGGCCTACAGTATACCAGATATACTGAAATAAAGAGCATGTCAGTAAAAACCCCAAAATGACAATAGTCCCCAGCAATTCGGCAAATGCAGAATAATTTCAATATTAACCCCCCCCCCAAAAAATACCTAGGCTTATTAAGTACACAAATACAAAACAGAAATGGAAGTTTACTGGCAATAAAGTTTCTTACTGCTCTTCCAAGAAGCCTGGCTTAATGCAGTTTGGAGGTGAGGGGCAGATGGCATTCAGCTGGCTCCCACAACCTTACTCCAGAGGAGGCTGGCAGCAGCAAAAGCCAAATGTCAGGGAGGGCAGTGATGGCAGGTCTCTCCCCCGGCTTCCTGGAAGTACCAGTTGCTGGTGCAGGTCTTCCTGCAGGATTCCAGCCTATTGCCACTCATTTTGAAAGAGAGAGAGAGAGAGAGAGACTACTAAGTCCCTCCCCCCTCCTGTACCTGAGCACCCCAAGAAAAGCCACCAGGGCCACAGCACAAGCTTCTTGGGCCCATTGTGACCCCGTTCTCCTCCTCTCCCCCTTCTTCCCCCAGCTGAGCAGGGAGGCTTGGAATTCCCCTTTTGCCATTCAGTGGCACTCCTTCAAACCAACCTTTCATTTTGTTTTTGTTTTTGTTTTGTTGCTGTTTATAAACTTGAACTACTTTTTACCTTTAAAAACTTTTTTTAAAATTTCTAAATAGGAAAACAACCAAAAAAAGGGGTGGGGTGGAGGGGGACCCATCAACGCCCCCTCCCACCCCCCACCCATCACTGCGCTGCCACCGCCCCTTGCCCTCTTCCTCAGGCTTTGACATGGCAGGAGGGGAAGAGGGTGGGGGTGGCAGCTGAAGTCTGACGCGGATATTTTTGTATCTCAGGTGATACCAGTCCAAAGCGATGCTCCACCTTGTGGCAGCAACCTGAGGGGTTTCTCTGGGTTCTCTGTGCGCCCTTTGCGCCGCACGCAGAAGCTCAGGGATATGTATTTAAACTGGACCCAGGGAAACCCCCCTGCTGCCCCTGCCCCAGCAGGAGGGGGCTCTCTTTGCCCAGGCCTGCTTGGGGCCTTGGCGCCCCCCTGGCATCGCCTGGGGAAGGAGCCCCTGTCTGGACTTGAACCCGCCCCGCTCGGGGCACCCATTGACCTCAACTGAGCCGCCTTTGCGATAGATGCATTCTTTCTTTCTTTCTTTCTTAAGTATGAAAATGTTTTGTACTAGTTTGTTGATAACATTATTGACTCAGTTTCCATAACAAAACTACCTCTTGTGTGGACATCCTGTTTATCATCTCAAAGGGATTGTGCGGAGGGGAAAGAAACAAAAAGAAATCCCTCCCCCAACTTTGGAAAAAACCTAAAATAACCCTGCTTCCTCTTTGTACATGTTTCTGAGTGGAGATGCAACAGGGTTGTTTTTTTTGGGGGGGGGGGGAGATTCTGCTTTGTCAACTTCTCCAGAGATTCTCCATTCCTCAGTGCTGCTGCAGGAGAATTCTTTGCCCCCTCCCTCCCTCCCCCCTTGGGGCTGCGTCAGAAGGAGGTAGCAGGATGCAGGGGGGGTGAATGAAGGGAAGGGACACCTGGAATCTTGAGCAGAGTTGTTAGAGAAGAGGCCATGCGGTGTCCCCAGACGCAAGACCACCCTGCCCTCTGTAGCAGCACGTGGAGAGGGGCTGCTCTTGCCAGCCTGAGCCCAAGGCTGCAGGCCCCCCTCCCACCCTACACGCGCCCATGGCTCCTGCCACCTCCTTCTGCCCACCCTGCTGACTTTTAGACCTGCATCTCCATGCCCCCGCCATGGGCGTCCTGGGACTCTCCCAGCCGGAGGGAGGAAGGGAGGGGCAGCAATGCCTTGACCAAACAGCCCGCAGCGCGTTCCCCCTACAATCCCGTGTAATAAATCAGGGAAGCAGGGTGTCACTGCAACATAACAAATAGTGAATGTTTAGCTGTTATGTTTCAACCTGCCTGGAGCTGGAGCACCTGCACTGCTGGGAAGCCACTCGCCCGGTGGTGCCTCCTGCCTCAGGAGGTGTTGACAACAACAGTGTTCTGACCGGGTGTAGTTTTGGCCGTGGGGCCGGCGCCCCTCGCTTTCGCCCAGCAGCCTCGGCTCCAAAGTTCTACTCTGTGACTTGACTACCTGTGGAAATGTGACCAATAAGTGTTAAACGCATGTTTAGCAAGTGTTAGATCTTTGAACTAATAAATGTGAAATGGTTCTGCACTGCTTGACTCTTGAGTGTCCTTTCTTTTGCTTGCTTGCTTGCTTCCGTGTCCCACAGGTGCCCCCTCCACACGCACACGCACACACCTCTACCTGGCAGTCAATGTGTTAGGGGAGGGGGTGCTTGGAGCAGGGGGTCTCTCCAGTGCCGGCAGGACGCATCTCTGGCAAGCTGGAAGCTGCCTTTGGCCCTGATGGTGCCCTCACAGCGGAGCACAGCAGGGTAAGGGGAGGCCAGAGAAAGGGAAGCATGGCTTCCACCCAGTCCCTTTGGACGGGGCTGGCTCCCCTTTCTCCTGCTTATCCAGATCTCAGCCCAGGCTTTGATGGGGAGGTGTTAGGAATGAGCAGCAGGTGTGAAAGGAGCAGGTTATTTTAGCCCCTCTTGCCTTAATAGCTGCCAAGCACCCTCTTTTACAAAAAATCCAATATGCAGACAAACCTGACTGCAAAAACAGCCTTGACCAGAGCACTGCAGAGGGAAAGGAGAGATCAGTTAAAGATATCTTGTGTTTGATGAGAGAATGGCAAGCCGTGAGGAGGGACTTGGTATTTTTAGATTTCTACACATCCTGGAGTGCACACATCAGGGCCCATTCAGCCGGGAGCAGGCGGCACACTCACAAAGCCATTGTGCGCCTCTCTGTGTGCGTCTGCCTGCCACACTGAGTTGGCAGTGGCCACGTCACCAAAGTGAGCAGCTGCTGCTCCCCCCCCCCACTGTGTCCGTGGGCTGCGCTGCCTCCGTGCCTTTCCCTGATGCTTGGCGCTTCTGGATTGGCCTAGTTAATGGACCACATAAATGCGTTTGGGTTCCCTTTATTCCTTTCAAAGCAGCCAGAGTATGATGTGCCTTTGTTCTGCTAACACTCCAGGCCCCACATTCCCTCCTCAGCAGAATGTCTTTCCACCCTGCTCTTTGGAATTAAGTTTAGCCTCAGCACATAGGAAGCTGCCATTGCACCATCTGTGCTGACTTTTGGCAGGCAAGGTAGTTAAGCAGGGGCCTCTCCCTGCCCTGCCTGCGAGGCTTCTGACTCAAGGTGAACAACGCACTCCCCTCCTGTGGCTTCCAGCAACTTGTAGTCAGAGGCATCGCTGCCTCCAACTGGTGGTAGAGCAGAGCCATTCTGGCAAGGAGCCATTGATGGCACCTCCTCCTCCGTATTTTTCTGTTCCTCCTTAAAGCTTCCCCAAGTTGATGGCCATTGCCGCCTCCCGTAGGAGCAAATTCCATAATTCCCTTACATGCTCCCTCCCAGAAGACCAGCCAGCAATCTTCAGGCCAATCCCAGGCTACAAATCGGCAGCCTGGCCTCCAGGTTGAGGGTGGTTGTGCTGTGAAGCCACAGCCCGTTCTCCCCAGAGATCCTTGAGGAGTCTTCATGGGTCTGATCCAGCTGCAGTAGTGACAGGAGGCTGCTGCTGGTGGCTTGACATTTGCTTCTTCAGGCTTTTCTGCCGCCCCCACCCCAGCAAAAGCCAAGCTATGCAGAGGAGGGAGGACTTGGGGGTGCGCAAGAGGTGTTAACACTCTTTGGCTTGATCTCTTTAGGTCCCAGAGCGGCTCTTGGATGTAGAAACCTGTTCTTGACTCCTCCAGGAAATGGTAATTCAGCAAAGCCGGATCTGCCCCCAGCAGACGGATCTTTCAGAAATTGTTCCCCTGACAACAAGGTCCCCATCAGAGCCATCGCCATGGAGATACAAGGCCTGCCTCTCCTTTCTCCAGTGTGTGTGGCTGGCCCCGCACTCGGTGGAAGCACCCCAAGTGTAGCGCACACTTGGCAACCATGTTAGCAGAGGCTCCTGGTCTGTCCTCCTCCCTTGCCCTCCTTCCCAGGAGCCCCCTTGCTGTATAAAATGTGCCCTTTGAAGACCCGAGGTGCTGGTGTCCTGGACCACCTGAGCAAAGTTTTGAATTGAAGCAGGTAGAATCTAGATGGCATAAAACTGGAATTGGGGCCAGTGGCTTTAAGCAAAGTTTGCCTTTCACCCAGCTGCTCTCTATGTGTTTGGACAGCAGCTGGACCCAAGAGACCACGTTCTGCTTACGCAATGTGGGTGAAAAGGAGGCTGCTCCCCCCGCCCCGCCCCCCGGTAGGCAGGGAGCCATGTGGCTTCTGTATTTCCAGGGGGTCCTTCCTTGACCCGTGTGCTTACATGTAGAGGAATGTTGTGGTTTTGCTTGCAATAAGCGTACTTCTACCAGCTGCAGTGACTTTGAGGACATCTGAGGGTCCCCCCCCCTTGAGAATGGTTCCTTTCCTTCTCGGTTGTCTTGGGCTACAAGTCCCATCAACTGGGGCTGGTGGGAGTTTTAGCCCAAAGCACCTGAGCTACAAATTCGGGAAAGCTGAGTGAGATGGCTAGGAATCCCACCACCTTCAAAGCCCTCTCCAAAACTCACCTGTGCAGCAGCACCTTTGTTAGGTGAGAAAGGCTTTGGGAGGAGAAAACCCACTGCCTTGCAAGACATCTTTGGGAGAAGAAAAGACTTTAAGGAGCAAACCCCATGACGGTTTGATGGCGCTTTCTGTGCCTCATTCAGGCAACTCTTAAACTTAAGCTGGTGCCAAGCGTCTTGCTCTGCTTTCCTTTAGACCACGTCAGTCAGGTTGAGAGGCAGCTAGAGCAGCCAGGGCGGGCCAGGACCTCCAGACACACTGCCCAGGCTTTGCTACCCCAGCAGAGACACCTGGGAAGCAGCAGTACAAGTCACCGGCCTCCAGGGGGCGCTTAGATCCCACCAGTTTGATTTCACCCACAGAGATGCACTTCCTCGTCTCTTGAGACAGGTTGGAGCCAACAGGTAGCAGTCTAGTTTGCCTCAGGCATTTTGCAGAACCCAAGCCCTTCCCCTGCTTCTTTCAGGAATTATTAATATTCCGCTTTTCTGCTTGCAGCTGACACGCTGTAGAGCTCTGTGCTGGCCCCACCCTCCGTGATGTCTGCTGGAAATCCACAAGCATGATTCAAGAACAGACTTTCCCCTCCTGTGGTTTCCAGAAACTGAGATTCAAGAGCGTTCACTGCCTCTAACTGTGGAGCCAGACCAGAGCCATCGCAGGAAGTAGCCATCAATAGTTCGCCTCGCCTTTTAAAGTCATTGTGTCACAGTGCTGTAGCTGCTTTAAAAACATAGCAAGCCTTCGGATGCAGCTCCTTTGTCCTCAAGTCCTCAAGTAATTCAGATTGACTGTGGGTTTCTCCCAGATCCGCTCCCTGCATTGGAATTCAGGTGGGTACCTTTGGAGGAAGTCGGGATCGGAGGAAGACGGACAACCTGTGTTTTTCTTGTTACTTTGCCTCATTGAGCCCAGCCAGGACAAGGGTATATTCACTGTGCCTTGGGTGGGGTGGGAGTGTACATGTGTCTGGATGTGAGTAACGGGGGGTGGGGGGCTATCTTTAACTAATCTGAGGGTCTTTTGGGGATCTGTGCTAGCTCCATGAGCTGCCCCTCCCTGATCTTTGGACCCACAGAAGTGGAGGAGGCACCAACTTCTCTTAATTGCCACATTTCCCTCGCTTGCTCATCTGGCCAGTGACAGCAGCTGTTGTGCGGAGGGCCCTGGCATGATGGTTTACTGCCGAAGGCCGCATGGCCTGTGATTCGGCCGGGGAGGATGGCAGCGAACAAATCACACTGTCACCAGCGTCAGCCTCATTAACCTGATCTTTGGTGGATCACCAAATGTCAACATTGCCTGGAACATCCATTATCGGGCCCAAGGACTCGGGCCAGGCATTTTGTCAGGCGTTTCTGTCACTGGCTCATGCTCTGACCTTCACAGAGGGAAAGGCAGCCTGGGGTGTGTGTGTGTGTGTGGAGGGGGCTGTTTGCCCACTAGCCTGCCCCCACAACCCTCACACAGCCCGGCCATATTTGTTCACATTCAGGCCCTATTTCCAGCTAGTGCCTCACGCCACGTTGACAAGTGCAGGCTGCAGTTACACACAGCGCCACCAGCCATTGTTCTGCACCAGCTTAGCGGCCTCAGCATTGGCCGTGGGAGGAGAGGGAGACAAGATGAGGGACGGAGAAGCCCCACAGGACCAGCTTTCCTGAAGTGGCTCCTGACACCAGTCGTGTGTGCACAGATCAAGATCCAAAAGCAAGTTCTCCACCAGGGGGTGCCAACTTGAATAAAAGGTTGGTCGGGGCAGGTAAGCCCTGCCCCACATAATAGATCACAAGGCACGATGCACACACATTGTTTAAATGACAATGCCCATCAGCTTTCAGAGGAAGCAATGCTTCTGAATACCAGTTGCTGAAAACGGCAGGAGGGAGGAGGGTCCCGTGTGTGGAATTCCCATAATGGGCATCTGGCCAGGCCCTGTGAGAACAGGAGGCTGGACCCGATGGGCTTCATCCAGCAGGTTCTCCTGATGTTCTTAGGTTGACCCATAAGCCCTGTGATGGGTTTGAGACCCCACGCCCTTCAGACTGCAGCTTCCCTCCCTCCTAATGTTTTTTTGGGGGGGCTGGTAGCTGTGGAAGCACTTGTGAAAGCTGTTTGAGGACCAGATTCCACAGGGACAGCACCAACGCCACGTAGGAGCCAAAGCGTTTTACATCCCAGAATATACACATACACGGCTCTATGCCAGTGCTTTTCAACCAGTGTGCTGTGGCCCCCTGGGGTGCCTTGAAGGATGGTCAGGGGTGCGGCGGGCAACCCTGGCCTCTGTCCCTCTCTTCCCTTCCCTCCCTTCCTCCTCTGATGCCCTCTTGCCTCCCCAAGGCTTGCACAGCTGTTTGTTGCAGCAGCCCTGGCTACAAGCTCCCCAGGCGAATGGTGTACCTTTGGCTGGCCAGGGGGTGCTTCCCCAGCCCCTGTGGGGCAGTGTGAGGAGGCATCTCTCTTTGGGGCAGAGGGGGGGGGCAGCTCAGAGACCAGGGACAGCAGCTGCCCAGAGGACTCCCAGGTATAGAGGAGAAGAGGCTGAGGGAACACATGCGCTCCCACTCTCTGGCAACTAATAATAATAAT